AGTTTTATTTGTGATTTCTGCGTCTTTTTAAACTTTATTCAACTCAATTACAATAACAAGACCTCAGAAAGTCAACATTTGTTCGATTTACGGTGGGATTATGCAAATAAACACTCCGTTTTTCATTATATTTCATGTTACATTTGGGTTTTTTACACGTTTATCAGAAATTCTTCCTGTAAAGTCCTGTATTGAATATTTCACTGAAGTAAAGCTATGACAGCTTAATAAAAATCATTCAAAAAATTGCCAAAAATAAAGCGTTTGCTCGAATCATATTCTACAAAAAACTAAAAATTCTGTGTTTCTTGACAAAAACGTCGAGTCATGAGTGGCTCAGCTGTGAGCAACGGTCACGTGACAAAAAATCAGGAAGTATTCGGCTGAACCGGATGGAAGTTTGAATTAAAAATACAATTAATTAAATATCGACAGCATGTAGAGTCACGAGTGTTGTGAGTTCTCTGAGGTGCAGAACTTTATTTAGCAGCAAAAATAATGAACCAACAGTGAATAAAAATGAAACAGGAGCAAAGAAAAAAATCACTTTTAAGTTTGTAGAAGAGAAATAAATCTGTGAGCACTGACCTAAATGAGGCATCGATGCTTTATTTATGGGCGGATTACACAAATAAATGCTCCATTTTTTATTACACTTCATGTTAGATTTGGGTTTTTATCATGTTTATCAGGAGCTGAAATAAACAAATATATATATATATACATAGTCCTGTATTGAATATTTCACTGAAGCAAAGCTATGACAGCGTAATGAGAATTATTTAAAAAATTGCCAGAAATGAAGCGTTTGCTTGAATCATATTCTACAAAAAACAAAAAATTCTGTGTTTCTTGACGAAAACGTCGAGTCATGAGTGGCTCAGCTGTGAGCAACGGTCATGTGACAAAAAATCAGGAAGCATTCAGCTTAACTGGATGGAAGTTTGAATTAAGAATGCAGCGAAACAAGAACAGTGAGTAAAAATGAAACAGGAGCAAAGAAAAAGATCACTTTTGAGTTTGATGGTTAATTCAAAGTTTGTAGAAGAGAAATAAATCTATGAGTCCTGAGCTAAATGAGGTTTTATTTATGGGTTCTGAAGAGGCTGAAATTGTTTGAAAGTAAAGTTGTTGCTCAGATTTTGAACTTGAACTAAACCCTCCTCACAGCTTCTTTCTTTAGTTTCTGTCTTTCTTTCAGGACATTTTTCACTAAATCACTTTTGTTTTACTGTCTTGTGTTGAGACCTTGAACCAAACCGGACAGTAAACGATGAAGCAGAAGAACTTCTCCACGTCCTGACCCATCAAACTGATCCTCTTCACACATTTACCCCCTCAAACGTCTGTTTACAGCCTTCGGGGGGTAAAAACTTGGCGCGGGGACGTTTGTGAGCGCACGTCTGGCCAAGTCGAGCCGTGAAAAGAGCGACTTCATTAACATGCACGGCCGGTCGCTTCCTCTGAAACGGGCCTTTGTGGGCCAGCAGATGCTCCTCGGACGGCGGACGGAGGCAGAATGTGATCGGAGGGGGAGCAGAGGTGGACCTGAGGCGCACAGGGGGAGGCGGTCGGAGGTGTTTGTGGTCCACGTCTCACCACAAACACACCTCGGCCTCCTTAAACTGCAACGTGAAGCGTTTTGCTGTGAGCTTTAAGGAGCACAAAACGGGTTTCTGCATGTTAACGTGTTAAACAAGCATCAAAAAGAGCATCGGCTCGCTGTGTTAGCATGCTAGCATTAGCTTAGCCACTGGTTTTGGTGGTTTGATAATTCACAGCAGTGATATCTGAACCCTGAGTTTAATTAGAATGAGGTGACAATCAGTGTTGAGGAGGTTTAACGAGTTTACATTTAACGTCACTTTGCAGCAGACCTGCAGGTGAGTTCATTATGTTATAAAATGTCTAAATCAGCAATGTTTTTATAGTTTAATGTGTTTTTTTCTGTAACCAACGTTGTTTAAAGGTGGAAAATGTAAAACACAACAAAAAGTACAAAAACAAAACAGAAAAAAAAGATCACATTAAAATATTCATGTAAAACTTAGATTCTCCGTCGACATTGTGGCACAATAAGAAAAAAATCTACTGAAATATATTTGATTTTCAGGTATTACATTAAAAGTGTTGCTAATTAAAGGTGCAATTTACAGAAAAATATTTGAGCTTCAAAGTTATGTTAAAAAAAATCCTGTTAACTTCAAAATAAACTAAAAAATCCTCACAATATCTAACAAAACCTTGTTTTTCTTCTTTGTGCTGGAATTAAAAGAAAAAAATAATTTTACAAACTCGTTAAAAAAATTATGTTGAAATGTATGAGGTGGAAATTAGGAGGGCACAAATAAAAAATAAAATTAATTTTAAAAAAATCAACTGTAGGAATTAAAAATTTCAACTTTACTGAAATTGGTTAAAAAAATAAATTATAAAATAATTAAAACGTAAACAGGTTGTAATTTTCGGATGTGAGAAAAGGTTAGGAAGTAAGAAAATAAAATCTCAATGTTCTTTTAAATTATTTTCACTTAAAAAAAAGTGATCATTAAGAAATATAATAAAACTTTACTCATTTAAAAAAAATAATAATAATTTTAATTAAATCAAACAAATTGTTTCCAAAACTACCAAAACCATGATTTCAACTGAATCAGGGTTAGAATTCATATAAATCGTCATTTTAAGATGTGGAACCAGGATTTAGTGACTAATCCCACTTTGTTAGGACCCTGAGTCTGAACCCTGTCGTTTAGTTTTATGGTTTTATAGAAACTCAGAACCAGACGAGTCCGACGTTCAGCTGCTCATCATCGTTGCTCTGAACCTCTTGCTGTGAAAGACTGTCTCCTTCAAAAATTATCCAAAAATAAAGCGTTTGCTGGAATCAGATTCTGTAAAAACAAAATATTCTGAGCTTCTTGATGAAGACACAGAGTCATGAGTGGATCAGCTGAGAGCGACGGTCACATGACAGAAAATCAGGAAGTGTTGGGCTGAGCTACAGGTTGTGTTGATACAGAGCAATGAAACATGCACATAGTTCAGTATCTGCAGTCTGTAGAGTTCTGGTGGTTCTGTTTCTACAGAGGTTCAGGACTTTATGTTGCAGTAAAACCTGAGCCCAGAGTCCAGAGAGCTGAGCTGTGAATCTGTGCTGCACAAATCTTCAAACGTTGACCCGAGACGTTGAAATCTGTCACTTTGGTCTCAGACCCTGAAGCTTCTCGGCTCAGGTTCCTGTGAACTGCTGACCCAAACGGGCCGGCGCTGCACCGTCAGTAAGTCGGTGCCGGTTCGTGCAGCGCTGCAGTGGAGTGAGGGGAGGACGGCCGAGCCCATTGGTCAGCAGCTTGACCGGCAGGCTGGCTGAGCTCCCAGCAGAGACGCCCCCAGAGGGCAGCTGTATAAAGGCAGCAGGGCATCAGCAGCCTCCGCTCCCCGGATACACGCCTGCTGCTGCTGCTGCTGCTGCTGCTGCTGATCCACACGGTAAGAACAGCTTCAGCACTTTCATCACTGCTTCTGCTGCAACATGACGTTAAAAACAGGAAAGAGGTTAAAGAGTGCAGCTCAGGGATCAGATGATGTTAAACAAGTTCAGAAAGTCGTTCTGAGCTTTTAAAACATTCTTAAGTTCAAGCAGGATGTTTTTCCAGCATTTTATCACCTGGATTACAAAATAAAAGCTTCTATTTAGGCTTTTCTAAAACCTGCAGCGTCATCTCTGGATGGACGTCCTGCTTTTCTTTCACTGTCTGCAACAAAGACGTGTGAAAGGAACCAAGTTTACATGATAAAAGACACAAAAAAAAGTCTTTCTGCAGAATGAGACCTAAAAGTTCAGAATTTTTTTCCTCACTTTCATTTTCAGGTCAGCTGTTTTGTATTTAGGTGCAAAATTAGACTTTATCTGTTATGTTTTATTACTTTTTCTCCTGAAAGATGATTTTAAACACAGAAAAAGATGTAAAGTTAAAAACAACTTCAATTTGGTTCGATTTCAGATCATCTTCCTGAGCTCGTGTGTGTTTGTTTGGTTAAAGCAGGTTATTTACTTTTATTCAGTTTGTTGTTCACAGTTTTTAACATCTTTCTGTATCTGTAATAGAAAAANAAGATTGAAGTGTGTATTATTTAGTAAATATTAAATGCATTGAATCTGCACATTCTGACAGAAAACCATCGACTGCTACATAATTGTTTGGTGATGAATCGACTCGCTCACATGTTTCCTGATATGAAAACTTTTCTTGACATGACGTGATGCAGAGAAGATGCTCAGGATACTTTAGAGTTGGCGTCATTGCATAGTTTGTCCAGCAGAGCGGCTCCACTGTTGTCTATAATCCGGCCTGCAGCGCATGTAGCAGAGAACGAGTCCAGCTCTGATGCGTTTCTGGCTGATTAGTGAGATCCATTCTTGGAAAGAATCGTTTCATCTGTGGGTCGATATGTTTGAGTTTTTCGCTCCCTGATGAGTCGGTCGAGCTCCACACAGCGAACAGGAAACCACGACCGAGCCGCTAAACCTCGTCTTTCCTCTCAGCTCTCTCTCTTCAGGCGACTGTCCTCCTCCAGGTCCAAGCAGGCGGACGACGGGGGTCCGACCCCGGCCGAGGCTCCCGTCCAGGGGGAGCCTCCAGCTCCAGCCTGCGGGCCTCACCAGGGAGGAGCTGTGCAGCCACCTGGAGCAAGCCGAGGGCCTCGCTCTGGGGCCTGCACGGTGCTGTGAGCCGGTACCCTTCATCACCCAGATGTGAAGACGCTCAAGGAGAACAAACCTGAACGGATCTGCCGTTCTGTGCTGTTTAAAGGAATACTCCACTGAAAATCTCACAGAATCCAAATCCTGAACACAGACTTCACACAGAAACTAGAAGCGTCTTTTTAAAAAAAGAGTGTTTTCAGCTCAATCATCAGAACCTGAGCAGGTTTATCTCCACCGTGTTTACTGTAGCTCCACAGAGGACAAAACGAACGAGCTGGAGTTACACAGAACTGCTTTTCTTCCAGATTTTAACTGAAATCAAGTAGCTACCGTCCCTTTATCAGCTACACTTATGCATGAAAACGAGAGAGTACAACAGCTTGAGAGCGCACGAGAAGTTCATGTTTAATATTAAAACTGATAAAAAANGCTGATTTCTTTTAATATCAGAAAAACATCAGATTTTCTGCTCATGACGGGAATAAAATCCCAGCGGACCAACTTTATGTGAAAGATAAAGTCATTGAGCTGCATCGATGAACTGATCCTCAGAACGACACTCTGAGGTTCTGCTGAGTTTTGCTTCTTTTGGTCCCGTTCAGGGTGAACACACCGATGACGATGACCGACCTGGAGACCTCGATGGCCACCATCATCGCCGTGTTTCAGAAGTACTCGGAGAGGGAAGGAGACAAGCACAAGCTGAAGAAGAACGAGCTGAAGGACCTGCTACACGACGAGCTCCCGGATCTGATGGCGGTGAGGCAGAACCTTTTCTATTTGCTAGTCACAGCACGTTAGCTTCCTTTCTGAGGCCCGCTGTCCCGACCTGAACCCGTCCTCCCTCCCCCGCAGCACGTCAAGGACCAGGCGGCGCTGGACAACCTGATGGAGAGCCTGGACGCCGACGGAGACGCCGAGTGTGACTTCCAGGAGTTCATGACATTCATCGCCGCGGTTACCGTCTGTTGCCACGACTTCTTCGAGCACGAGGACGAGTAAGGGGGCGATGGCGGCGGCGACGGCGGCGGCGGAGACAAAAGGGGAGCTGCAGTAAATTATGAGGGAGCCTAGCAACGCACAAACTGTCGACGCCTTCGGAGCAGCGCCGGGTGGAGGGAACACGAGGCTGGTGGCTCGCCAGAACCCCAGTCGAGTCGTCGCCTCGTGTGAAACCAACCTCGTCTTCTGTCTCTAAACCCCTAAACGGCTTGTAAAATCTTCAAAAAAGTGGCACTAAAGCTTGTGAGAAAAGTAGCCGAGCAGGAAGTAGCTGAAATATTGGTTAGGACGACTTTCAGAGGCCGTAGTCGGCTCTGAACTGGGCTCTCTGAAGAATCCGACAAGTGTCTGCTAGCTTGTGGCTACCAACTTTGGCAGCCAGGATTAGCCACAAAGCAGTCAGTAGTGAAGGATTCTTCTCTTCAGAGCCCTTAAGTTTTCATTCCTGTGCTACTAAAACCTTCACTTTAAATCAAGCTGGATGGAAGTTTGGTAAAGTGTCGACAAGGTTTGGGGAGCGGCTGCTACTTTTGGCGGCAAGTGGCCCGGCGGAAGTAGTTTGTAAGTTTGTCTACACGTAATCTGAAGACAGTTTTCCGGCTCGTAGATTACACAAATCCATAAATAGATCCGTAGGTTTTGAATGTTAGCCACTAAATGGAGGAAGTGGCTAACAAGCTAATCAAGTAGCCACTCTGAAAACAACTACTCAAAGCGATCTGTGTTTGAAAAACCTTGTTGACTATCAAATATTGAGAGTAAATTAGGTATTAACGATATTTAACTGGCTAGTAAAAGCTAGCTTAGCTGCTATTGACGAGCTGCTTAAAAGCTGGATTTCAAACTAAAAGCATTTAAACGGCTGGTAACATTGGACTTTTTTCTGTTATTCTGACACCAATCATCCATTTGATGTTTTGCACTTCAAATCTTAGGTGGCCACTGAACTGAGAAAGTGGCTAACGCGTTAATCGAGTATCGTAGCCACAAGAATCAACCTGAAGATGTTTGAAAAGTGTAGCTGACTATCAAATATTGAACGCGGCTCGTAGGTTTGACTGCACTTAATTTAGCTTGAGAAGTTCTGTGAGGCTAACAGATTTGATAATGAGCTATTGTGACGGCCACCAAACTGAGAAAGTGGCTAACGAGTTAATCAACTCCAAAAGGCACTTGTGTCTGTAAAACATGTTGTTCACGTCATAAAATTGGCCAGTAAGTTAGACATGGCGTTAAAATTATGAATCGGCTAGTAAAAGTTTTAAAATGGCTTGTAAGTGTTAGCGACTGAAGCTGCTACTTCGTTAGCAAACCGCAAAAGTATTCGTTAAGTTTGTCCTTGTTTTAAAATGTTTTTCTTTCTTTTCTCGTTACAAAAAATACATCTGGTCGATTTTGGAAAAAAAAGATTTTGCACTTGAAATGTGAGGAGGTGAAACTGAAGACGTGGCTAACAAGTTAGCAGCCCCAACAATCAAGCGACTATCTAAAGGAGGCTGAAAGTCTAGACGACTAGTAGGTTAGCTGTCATAGTAAAACTGGTTAGCTTGTTTTGAGTTTTAGCTAATTTTACTCTATAAAATGTAAACATTTTGCATAATTTAGTGTTATGTTGTTAAATAAAAATCCGGCTTATTAAACCTGTATGATGCTAGTAAGTTTGTCTGTTTTACGTGTTCATTTATCTGGTGTTGATATGTTGTTTTTTAGCTTTTTTTTGGATATAGGAGTCCTTTGGGATTTTTTTTAGGTAGCTAACAAACAAGTAATCAGATTTCGTCACTAAAATAATCATAAAACGTTGGGATTTAGTCGTCGCTGCTGCCTGTCGCCGGGTTTAGTTTGTCTTTAGCGCAAACTGTCAAACAATCTAGAAACGACGTGAGTAGATGTGAAAACGGTGTGGAGCAGGAGATCTGGTCTGACGTGTACCGTGAAATGTGGACTGCTGGTTTGTTTGGACGTCGATGATGTGAAATGAATTAAATTATCAGTTTGAGACTCCGAGTTTGTGGCTGTTTTTGCAATTAAAATGAAAATGTTGCTTTAAAAGAACGCAGGTTATCAAATGATTCTGCTGATTCTGGGTTGTCATGAATAAACGTGTGCACAGAAACACTACAGCGGTCTGTTCATAGCGGTTCTGCAGAGCTGCTCAACCATAAAGCTTCATGTAAATGTTGTTTTTCTCCTTGTTTTCAACTCTAAAGCTTCAACTCAGCTGGAAAACATCAATTTAAAAGCAAACTGATCATGTTGACAGGAAGCTAAATATTCAACAAGCTTTATGAACAAAACAACGTGTCTTTAAAAAGGCTTTTAGTTGTTTAAAATGCACTGGACTGCAGGTGTTTCCTGACTGAAATCATGACAAACTGAACTCCAGGACTGATTTAACTCCTAAAAAACGTTTTATTTTTGCTGCTAGCAGATGTTTTATAAACTGGATCTGAGGCAATATTTTTTTTATTGTAGAAAAGCCAAAGAAATGGAACATAAAGACCAGAAAAGTGCAGCTGTTGGTCTCTGAAATGGTGTAAAACTGTTTAAATATCCCAATAAAAAGTCATATTTGTAGCTCATGTTTACTTTAGACAACACTGGCTAAAATACAAATAAAGTCAATTAAATAAATATGTAAGTAATAAATAAGCAACATGACTAAAAATGTCATAAAATCTACATAAATATATAAATTGGCCATCTCATCTCAAGCTTTTATCATATTTGGAATAAAAGTTCATTTGAAGCAAGTTTGTTGGAAATGTACTAGTTTGCTGTTCACAACCTAACTTGTTCATGTCAATCTTTTGTTTTCTGTAATTTCATTGGATGATGTACCTGTAATATCCAATCAGAGGTAAGATGGGCGTGGCCTAACGTGGAACGTGTGAGAAATCTTTTAATAAGTCAGTCTGGTGAATAAATAGTCTCTAAAACAGGTGGATACGGACTCTGCTGGTTCGTTTTGGACTTTTCTAACCCGATGTAAAGTGAGTACTTGATGTATTTATGTTTATGCGCTCAGACGGAATGTTTTGTCCAGAAAATGCTAACCGCGACTAGCGACGAAGCATGCTAACGCTAAGGCTAGCCTTGTGTTTTACTCCGGTGTGTAAAGTATGTATGGAGGCATAAATTAGATTTCAGAAATAAAGAGAGACTTTTAAATGTACAGCGGACCGAGGACACTTTCTTTGGGCCCCTGGTGTGGATGAGAAGTCGTCTTTGGCCGTCTGGTCTGTCTGGTGAAGCCTGCTGGAGCTGCTGCCGCGCCGCCATCAAGCTCACGGACACGGTCACGTCTCGCGCTGCCTGCTAGCCGCTAGCTGCTAGCTGCTAGCCCTGTCGACCGTGAGTACCACGTTTTACGGCCTCACCCAGGCAGCATCAGGCCTGCAATGATATAAGACTGAACCGAAGATAACAGGGTAACAAAAAGGAAAACGTCACAAGTGAATTGTCTTCTTTTTACTAAAAATCTACTTTCTGCATTTGACTTTCCTGGTTTGTGTCGCATGTTAGAGGTTACAGTGAGATTATCAGGTTGCTAAGCTAAATTTAAATTATTCTTCGACCACGTTTACACATAACCAGTATTTTGAAAAATAACATCATTCACACCAGATAATTTTCAAAAACATCTTCATCCACACAAACCTGCATAAACCCGTCGTTAAGAGCTGCCAGACCTGTAGGGGGCAGTGTAACGAGAAACATATGCTAGCCAATCAGAATCCTGGAACAAACAACAAATTACTTCCTGTTACTTCAGCGATATCGGCATGAGGGTCGTTTGTCCAAACGTTGCTTTAACAGCGTCCATTTCTAACACAGCAGCCAAACTGTAAACATGGCCGCACGCTGATGACGCTTTAGTCGCTAACTCAGGGTTCTCGTCAGCGTTATGATGGAGTAACGGCTCGTTACGCTGATACGCTGTTGTCGAGGGTATGTTGCAGGAAAATATTTAACAACAAGCGCCGGTGGAGTTTCTCTACCGTTGTCCTCGTTGCTAACGCTGCTATTTGCTAGCGTATTTGCCGCTAACCGTTAGCAGCATTCGCAAAGACTAAAAAGAATCCTGTCAAGGACCCTGATACCGTGACGTCTCCTCCCGTCTACATGCAAACGTACAGACAGTGTTTTTCCAAATCTCTATTGTGGCCGGAGTTTTCAGATGTGATCGTTTTCGGTGACTCGTAGCTTCGTTTACGTGTGAACCAAACGCCCGTTGATATATCACCGTTTCTGCTACGTGTGAACGTGGCCTCAGTGGGGTTTAAAAGGAGTGTGTTTATTATTTAAGTGGAGGCAACATCAAGTCATAATTTACATTAAAGTTCTAGGACCATTTTCCTGTTGTATCGCCTGTTTACTAGGTTTATTTAATAGATAGTAATAGTACTCAAAGCCCCGCCCACAGTATTAACGAGAGTGTTCATACATTAGCTACATGGGATGGGTGTTACAGACGTGAATATGAATCCTGAAATTACTCATTCAGTCACATTCTTCATCTTCACAGTGTCGACTTGAGTAAAACCCCTCGCTCTTTAAGCATCTGGATAATGTTTCAGTGACGTAAAACATTATTTTAACATTTTTTAAACACTCAAACAGAAGTTATAAATGTAAAAGCTGTGATAAGGAGGTTAAGATTCTGCTCCTGTTGGACATGAAGGCAAAACAGCAACACGACAAAGCGGTGCTAACAGAAAGCTTTGTGAGTCAGGATTTAGGATTGTTTGCGATTTCACCATGGATCTGCGGAAACAGCAGCCGCGTCGAAGTCGGCAGTGATCCCATGTGAACTAGCATCACTGGTGGTAAGAGGTGAGTCTACAGCTCGTACTTGAATCACACTTTATCTGTGAAGTGTCCGAGGTAGAGCGCACACCACTCGCTTTAAAGGTGCAGATTTCTCACAAATGTCGCTCTTTTTGCTCAGATTCGGTTCCCCGGGACTCGTTCCTCTTCCTTAGAATTAAACTTCAAGTCGAGGCGTCGCTATTTTGACATCGTTTGGGAGATTTAACGCTCGACACAGGTGGTACTTGACACATTTCAGACAAAGTGCTGCAGGAGCGCTGGGAGCAGAGTGTCGCTGCACAGGGAGGCTTCTGTTGTTTTCAGGGTGTTACAGCCAGTTTGTCTTCCTTCATTTTGTTTGTTGGTTGTCTGTCTGAACACCACCAGCTTTAGTTTGAGGGTTTGTGAGGCTAAAAGGAAGAAATAAAAGTGTCCGTCTACGGCTCGTAGCGGTTGATTGTTTTTCGGTGTTAAGCGGCGTCTCTGGAGAGTCTCTGAAATGTTGTGATGCTTCTTTACAAACTCGGGTCAAGTTGGAGGAGCGAATTCCTGCCTGATTGTTTCACATCTCGTCCTCTTCTTCCTCTTCTTCCTCCGCGCAACTGTTTTTATTTATCGGTCGACTGGAAGCAGTTTGCGCAAGAAACTCGAGCAACTCATGGAGAGGGAGAAGTAAATGCACTTTTCTTCAGAGAGTGGCTGACAGATTATTCAGGAGGGTGAGGATTAGTGAACGTGTGCACGGACACACACACACACACACAAAGAGGAACGAGTGTGTGTTCACAGATGATGCAAGAGGCGTCGTCAGCTGCACACTTTCAGACATCTGCAGGCTGTTTAGCATCGGAGAGGTGGAGTCAGCGCCGCGATTGGCCGGAGGGGGAAACGATCCCGACCCTGGGGACCGACACCACACCCATCTGCAAGTGTGTGTGCATGAGTTATGTGTGTGTGTGTGTGTGTGTTGTCTAGCATACACTCTGTTGTGTTTCTCCTGCTCAGAGCTGCCTGCTGACTCTCAGAACTGGTGAGTTTCTCTTCACATTCTGTCGTTTTTGGGTTTTTTTCTTTCTCTGCTGCATAAAAGTTGTTGCAATCATTCAACAATCCGTCCTCGCTGAGTCAAACTGTGGCTGTTTATGTTCGCTTTTCTCATTTTCCAAGCTGAATATGTTCAATTAAACTTCTTGAACAAATGCAAACACAAGTCAATAAGATGTGATAGTTGGGCGGCTGAAGCCTGGCGTCACGCTCTGCAGCTGTGGGAGAGTTGAGCGCCTCTTGTTGTGGAGACAAACACTCGGATGCATTTTGATCCCATTCCCTGGAGTTCATGATTCAGTGTGTGAAAAGCTGAGGGCGCAAAGTTCCCGTAAAAGGGCTCCATTGTTTGGCGAGATCTGGTGATTGTTTTGTCACTTGGATGCTTCGAGAGGTCGACGCATCCTGACGCGACTGTTGGTAAATATTTAGGATTCAAGACTGATTTTCATGTGTTCAGACAGAATCTTCCTCCAGACAGCTTTGTGCTTGTCAAACAATCACCGGTCGATCATTTATTCAGCTCATAAATCATTTAAAGAATCTCCAAACTCCACTAATGCTGCTCAGTGTCCAGCTAATTCCCTGAACTACATCAGTCATGATCACAAGGATATGAAACGTGACTGTACCGGCGTGGGAAGTTCTTGATTATCGTCTAAATTTCAAATACAAATCCAGCTGCAAACTACAGGATAGCAATCAAACCTTTAAAAGGAAGCAAATCTGTAATAATAATATGATCCAGGTCAGGAATCTTTGGTCATTTAGCGCAAAACTGTGCACGACTTTCTTGGAAATATCAAGTCAATCAAGTCAACTTTAGTTATGTTTTAAAACACCACATGGATGCCAAAAATAATGTGCATAAAGCAAGACCAAAAACAGGTTAAAATGCGACTCATTCATCGCCACCATTAGGTTTCCAAAAGAATGGCTACCTTAAGGTGTCCCTGATGTGGGACGTATCCCATCCATCCACCCCGACCTCCTCCCTGCATGCTCCAGATGGACTCATGTCATAATCCTTTGAGCCACAGATTGTATATCAGCCACCATCCTGGCAGTTTTGGACTCCTAACTCCTAAATTAGCATATACAGCGTCGCTAAGGGAAGCCATGCAAACAACACGTCCTTGATGATACACAACTTTTAGCCTCGATATAATTTAAATGGACAGCTGATGTAAAAGTTCCCTCCTCGCTCAGCGGTCATAAACGACGAACTTATGTAAAGAGACCAAAACCAGTTTTGTACGCGGCCGTAAACACGTTTCCTTTGTGCTGTGAAGTCGGACGTTTTAACACGGAGGTCAACGGGGACCGACCTGCTGTTGGAGGCGGCCTCAAGTGGCCATTAGAGGAACTGCAGCTTCTGGCAGATTCTTTTTTTGCTGCCTGATCCAATCAGTTTGGAAAATAAAACATTAAAACCACAACTTGAGGCCAACAGAAACGTGTACGTTTAACATTTTGCTTAAAAATGTCACCGGAAAGAGGAACGATTGAGCTGCAGCACGACTTTTTAAACTGGCCTTAATGTTTGAACAGTTAGTAGCAGCGACAGAGAAGATCCTTTTTAAGAAACTGAGGTGAATGTTAGCATTAAATTACCTCCGAGATAAATCAATTCAAATATCTGCTGCATAAGACGTGAGTAAAGGCTTATCCTGGCACAACGTCAGCATCTGTTCACTTCCATCCAGACGTTCATGTCTCCATATTCTGACGTCTTCTTCCTTTCCGCCTCCTGCAGAAACCCCTCGCAGCTTGACGTCAGCATGGATCCGACCCCGACTGCAGAACCGTTCACGACTGTAGAACAGTACATGTCTGAACGTCCGACTCCAACACCAGCCGAGGTTCTGACTCCTGAAGTTCTGACCCAGACAACAGCCACAGGTGCGTTCATGTGCGCGAGGAATCCTTTAAACGACGTACTGGGAAATTCTCTCATCGGTTTTCTGGCAGAGTTAGACGAGAAGATTGTCACCAGTTGACTGTTAGCTTAGCTTAGCTTAGCTTAGCGAACAGAATCAAAGGGAGGCTCGGTGTTTGGTGATGCTGTTGCTAACCTGCTAATTAGTTTGTTTTTAAAGGAAAAATTTTAATAAAATGAGCAAAAATAATTAAACCAACCTGACGAAGAACCCCAAAAGAACAAATAAGTGCATTTTAATCTGTAAACATGAACTTCATGTCACGTTAAAGTCCACGTAAAGACAATTTGTTTCTCAGCACATTGAACATGAACCAAAACCGTCTCCAGTAAACATGAATGCTGCTTGTTCTTCATGATTTTAAAACCTAATTTCATAAACCATGTTGATTTTTTTAGTCATTCAGACGTTGCTTGGTGCTTAAAAATCAGTTTTCTGTGGTCGCAGAAATTAAAAATACACTTTTTTTTTACTCCTTTACTCGCTTAAATCTATGAACTTGTTAATTTTTAGGTTAATTAAATGTCTTCTTTGGTATAAAAAACTAAAAACACACATTTTTTTTATCGACTTTCAGCGTGTTCCCACTGGAGCCGGATGTTTCAGGTGTTTCTAGAGATTTACTGCCTCCTTTTATTTCAGTTTTAACTTCTTTACAAGCTCACACAGCGAGAGACTGCAGAGAGAGGAATGAAGCAGGTGCTGCTAGCTGAGCTAAGCTAAGCTGTAGCTTCTTATTGCTAGCATGAGACACATTAACGATGTTCAAAAAGTTTTAAAACGCATTTATTAAAACGAAGGATGCTGAAAGAACGTTCGTCTACTTGGAGGAGATTCAGGTTCCTGACTGATGCGGCTCAAAGACGAACCTCCTTGTGTTGGTGCACCAGAACCACGTCTGGTCGGCCCTCTGAGGGCTTCATGATGACAGAAGGCGGTTTGCAGGACGCCGGCTGTGCAGGAGGTGTCGGTGCTCAGCAGGGAGTGTCTTATCAGCCTCGAGTCGGTTTGGGATGGAGCCAGCGTGACGCCTCGGGGGCCTGTCGCTATGGAGATAAGGGGAGCAACCAGGGCCGAGGAGGGCCGAGGAGGGCCAACGCAGGCTATGAACAGCTCCGTCCCCTGGAAGCTCATGTACGACTGACCTGCAGCTTGGGCCGCGATACGTCAATGAAATGATGATGCTTTTTCTGCAGTACGACATCCGGTCATGTGATTACAGCGTTAATAAAGCATTCAATCTAAACGACATTCTGAAAAATAATCCATCCATCATAGGTTTTACTCTTTTATTGGCTTTAATCTGCTGAAACATCTGGATCCACCGGGGCCACACGAATAATAATATTAATTTATGTCACTATAACGATATCATACAGCATAAAACGACATGTCTGACTTCTTCCTGCTTCTAGTTTGTGTCTCCGTCGAGGTGCAGGACTTTACGTTGCAGCGAAAAACGAGTCAACAGTGAGGAAAGATGTAAAAATCAAATGTTTAACGTCATAAACGGCGATCTACGGCGGCTCTGAGGTGACGGCCGGACCGACAAAAACAATTTTTTAAAAAGGAAAACATCAACTTGAACGAGAAAAAAGGGAAAGACAACAAAAAAGAGAACATAACCTTTAAAAAACACTTTTCTTAACGTGTTTTTTTTCTACATTGTCGTTTGTTTTCTGATTTAAACACAAATAGAAAAAAAGCCACTTTTATTTATCATGTTTTTTAGATTTTTGTAACTTAAATTGTCAAAAAAAGTAGTTTTTTATAATTTATGTCACTGTAACGGTATCATTTAGCATTAAAAGACGTTTCTGAGTTCTTCCTACTGGTCTGTGTCTCCGTGGAGGTTCAGGACTTTATGTTGCAGTGAGAAACGAACCCAGGAGTGAAAACGTCACTAGAGACTCGCTGCAAGGGCGTTGTGTTTGTGTTTGTGTTTGTGTGAGGCTCTAAAATAGACGGCAGGCGTTTGAATGCCACGCATGGTCGGAGTCTGAGCCGAGAAAAAACCAAACCAGCTGCCGTGTGTCCTGTAACGAGACGTGGAGGCCGAACATCACAGCCAGTTTCTAAACTCAGAGCTTCCTCCTCCAGAGAGTCCCACGTGGAGCTCTGCAGCTCTGGAGCTTCTGCTGCAGAAACTGAAGGACGGAGTTGAAGTTTAACGTCTGAACTTCCCCGAGCTGAACGTCTGTTTGTGTCTTTGCAGGCGTGGAGGTGGACGGTGGAGACTTGGCGGCGTTAATCGGAGGTGAGGCCTGAACGCTGGATGCAACGTGATGATTTGTCCAACTTCACCTGACAGCAGCGTGTATCAGTGACTCTGTGATGACTTTTAAATCCTGTGTAGGGTTCAGATTAAGAGTGTAGAAGTTTGGGAAGTTATTGAGGAAACTTCCTGGAAATGCAAAGGTTCCACCAAACCAACAGTTAAATCC